TCGTCACACGGCACACAAAAAAAAACCCAAGTCTTTAGAGAGGAGCTCTAAGTCAGCAAAAGAACAAAGGAACTGAGAATTTAAAATTGGACAATGATTGATTGTATGATGTTTCAAAAAAAATAAATATCTTTTTATGAGAAAAAGAAGGGACGGTGAAAAAAACGTTTTTTTTTTTTTTTTGGGATGACTTGTTCAACGGTACTAAGGTGCTTGAAAAAGTAAATAGATCACTGTATCTGATCGATTTTGATAGTAGTAAAAAAAATGGTTTGGTGGTTGTTACGACTTAAGAGTAACATTGATTATATGAATTACGATTAGAGTAAAGGAACCCAAAAGGTTTCGTATTCCCTTAAGTTATTAGAGTTTTCATTTGTAAACTCTTTACCTCTATAATTTGAATAACCGGTTAAGATTGAAAATGATCGGATAAACAAATACTAAGAATATTCAATTTTTAAGGAATAGTATTAACTTGTGTCACACCTAGGAGATTTGCCAAATCTTCCTAGAAAACCTTGATTACATAAATTTAACGACAAAGTTTAGCATTTTCACACACAAAAATATCAATTTAAGATATCCTCGGTTTCGGTTTCTTAAAGGTTTGGTAAATTGTATACCACCTGTTGGGCTAACCTTAAACCTTGGTAACTTAAATTATTTATACAATTAAACAACTTTTTCTAGTTGCTAGCTTACGCTACACACCAAGTCGATCGATATAAGCTCGGTTTGATCCCACTTTCTACAAAAATAATATGAAAAATGATATTATAATTTATTCACTTTCACCTCAAGTCTCGTAACGTCACCTACCAGCAATAGATAAAGAATAACTAAAGAATCATGTTAAAGTGGACCAAATCGTTCTTGACTCGTGACCCTTCCGAAATTAAGTTCTCATAACTCGTTAAGGGATATTGTCGATAGGTTCTTAGAACAAAATTAAAACTGTGTCCTTTTTCTATACATATCATGATTTTAAAATTGAATAGCCGTATTTGATCTATTTTGCGAGTTTAATACAAAAATAATATATATAGTTTTTACTAATTTCTTAAAGTTTCGATAAATATTTTGAATCGGATACAAATAATTCTAGTTTAATTTGTTTACGGAGAAGAAAAAAACAAGAATGTAGAAGAGAAGTAAAAGTCAACGTTGTTGGATCCTTATTGGTCAAAGTCAACAGATTTTAACGAGTTATATTGGTCCTACACTACATTACCAAAAACATCCCAAGTGAGACAAAGTTGTCATATCCAATTATATCAATCATTCGATAGAAATTGTTCTATGTACCGACATTAAAAGATTCTACGAACTTTGTATTATTGCATAGTAATGTCCAATATAAGGTTAGTTCGACGAAACTAAATAAAAATTGAACAAAAGAAACAAGTTATGAAACGGAACTAGGTCAAGGTTATGATT